CCAGACTGCAATTTCCCTCTTCCCCCTATTCAGAACAAAAGCGATATGAGGCAGCCTTAGAAGAAGAAACTGGATTTTATTCTAAAAAAATCATGTTTTAACTACAGGGTAAAAGATATGATTAAATTTCACGTGCATCATTATTGGAAGGCACATAGGAAGAGCTTAATAAAGAGGTTCAGGCTAGAGCCGGAAGGGACCTACAAGGCATTTCTGGTCCAACCTCTTTTGCTGGAAACTGAGGCTCAGAGGAGTTAAGTGACTGGCCCCAAATCTCACATCAGAGCATCAGTCACGGGATTTGAACCCTGGCCTTCTCATTCTAGGGCAGTGCTCTGGCTTTCCTGAGACTTCCCTGAGTGAGAAAAAGAATAATTTCTAACTTAGAAGATTTTTCTTTAAAAAAACCAAACACTTTAATAACTTTCATGTTGGGCTTCTTCCTTACCATCCTTGACTAGATAAGCCCAACACAAATGGAAAGGTAATTGTAGGGGAGAAAAAAAACCCATATTGCTCATCTTGAGTATTTTAATTTTTACTGTGAGCAAAATCCTTTAAAAATAGTTCTCCCATTTCCAGGAATTTGTTCTTGTTTTTCAAAGCAAAGCAAAACAAAGGTGTTTGGCTGCCAGGTCTGCTACGCCTTCACAAAGGGCATGGAGAAATGCAGAGCAGTCAAAGAGCCCAGGCATATGAAATTAATCCTGGCAGGATTAATCCACTGCTGCACATTTACACAAATGCATCTTTTAAGGTCAGGACCGTGCATGTGGGGACTCACATGTCCCTTCCCCCTCTACGCAGGCTCCCCAGGCTGCTGTAGTGGACAGAGAATTAGAGGACCTGGGTTAGAATCGCTGCTCTGTTCTTTGCTATCTTAGTGACCTTGGGCATTTGCTTTCACTAGGCTTTGGACTCTGTTTCTGGAAAACAAAAGGGCTTGGGCTAGACCCCCCCCCCCCCCGCACCCCCGGTCTCCTTTCAGCTCAAAGTCTCTGATATTGGGATCTTACACCTTCTTTTCTTTTTTAAGGCTGTGTTTAATGTTCATTTGAAACTTATTTCTCCAGGAATTCCTCCACTATAGCAGCTATTGTGTTGATATGCCAAATGGACAGACCACTGGAACTTGAGTCAGAGGATGTGGTTTCAAATCCTGCCTCTGACACTTCCTAGTGGGGTGACCGTGGATAAGCTAGTTTACAAAAACATAGATTCAGAGCTGGAAGGGATGTTAGGGATGATCCAGTCTAATTCCCTCATTTTTCAGATGAGGAAACTGATGTCTAGGGAAGTTAAATGACTCATCCAAGGTCACTTAATGAGAAAATGCTTGATTTTTAACCCAGGTCTTCTGACTACAAATTCTGCATTCTACATCAAGTTCCTCCCCCTAAGCCTCAGTTTCCTCATCTGTAAAATGAGGAGGTCAGGCTAGGTGGCCTCTGAGGTCCCTTCCAGCTTCAGATCTAAGATGGGTTGGTTCTGAGCCTGCAACTCCCCTCGGCACAGCCCAGGGCACAGTGACTACTGGCCCTTTGGCCTTTCTTCTTCTTTGGAGGCAATCAGGGTTAAGTGACTTGCCCAGGGTCACACAGCTAATAAGTGTCTGAGGCTAGATTTGACTCGGGTCCTCCTGCCTCCAGACCCAGTGCTCTATCCACTGCACCACCTAGCCACCTCGCTTTGGCCCCGCTTTCAGATATTCCTTTTGACTATCATAAACCTTCCTTCCAAAATGCCTTGATACAGTATCTTGCCCGAGGAATCTTGAGAGTGCCTGCGATCTGTGATCAACAGTCAGACCCCAACCTTCACAGAGAGATAGCTTGTTCTCTCTCTGACTCTGGCTCTTTGTTTCTGTCTCTCCCTCCCTCCCTTTCCTCCTTCCCTCCCTCCCCTTCTCTCTTTCTCTTCACATAAAGACTCTTCCTATCCCCCTCTTTTCATAATGAATAATCTCATGGCTGCCTGAAATCGGTTTCACTCCACTTTCGGGACCAACCAGTAGCTTCAAGGTGTTCCTAGAAGGTGCTCTAAAGAGACAGACTAACCATGACAATCATAATTCGTATTTCAATAATCCTCCGCACACTTTTCTTACAACCCTTAAAGGTACAGAGCCATCACAGAGGAGATTTCCACTGGGCATTAAGGTTGGCAAAGCACTTCTTGCATGTCAGTTGAGCCCAGCAACCCCATGAGATTGAACTGAGGGTCATTATCTTCCCTGTATCTCAGTGCAGTAGGTTGCTGCCAGATCTGAGGGTCAGAAGACCTCAGTGCAAATCCTGCCCCTGACACTTACTACATATGTGACCTTGGGCATCTTTCCGGGCCTCAGTTTCCTCATCTGTAAAATGAGACAGTTGGGCTAGACAGCCCCTCAGGTGTCTCTGAGCTAGAAATCTATGATTTTATGAAACAGAGAGATGAAGGAATTTGCCCTGTGTCACAATGTCTGAGGTGGAATCTGAACTCAGGTTTTCCCATTGCCAAGCTCAGCACTCTATCCTTCACCCCACCTTGTGTCTCAAAGCATTTTTCTCTCAACAGCCTTGTAAAGTAGGGAAAGTAGTATTATTTCCCTAAGAACAGCTCTTTCTTGAGTTAGAAAAATGAAGGAATGTGTCTGTGGTCTAATCAATCAAAAGGCTTCCCTCCCCCTAGACTCAAAAGTCAGAAGCTCCTATTAACATTCTTTTTTTCTTTAAAAAAAAATATTGATCAGAGCAGCTAGGTGGCACAGTGGATAGAGCTCTGGCCTTGGAGTCAGGAGGACCTGAGTTCAAATCTGAACTCAGACGCTTGACACTGACTAGCTGTGTGACCTTGGGCAAGTCATTTAACCTCGATTGCCAAACAAAACCAAAATAACAACAAAAAAATATTGATCCTCTTCCACTTTGTCAGAGTAATAAACTTGGAGTCAAGAAGACCAGAGTTCACCTTCAATCTCAGACACTAGCTGGGGGACCCTGGGAAAGTCACTTAACTACTCTCTGTCTCAGTTTCCTTATTTGTAAAATGGGGATATTAACAGTACCTACCTCCCCAGGTTGCAGTGAGGACTAAAAAAGATAGCACATGTACATATATGCATGTTACATATAATACATATATTCTCATCATAACATAAATATACATCAAAACATATGTATATAACAAGGTATGCTTTATAAACCTTGAAGGGCAATATGAATGCTAGTTATTATTATTATTCATTTCCCAATATAGCCTTCCTCTCTCCCCCACCCAGGGACCCCTTCTTTGTAACAAAAGAAGAAAAAGAAACATAAAAAGTTCAGCGAAACCAGCTGTGTGAAATCTACCCAGCATCCCCCACTCAGAGGTGGCCCCCTGCCAGAGCAAGGAAAGAGGTCCCTTCTCATATCACTTCTCCTGATTCCATTTCATTAATTAGTTGGAGAGTCTTTCTTGTGGTAAAGAGAGGACTAGCATTCAAACGCACTGACGTTTTAAAACATTTTTTAAGAGGAAGGGCCCTTAAAAAAAGAAAAACTGACAAGAGATGTTTTCCTTTGCTCCACACAGAGAAGAGATGGAAAAATGGGCCAACACATGTCTGAAGACCCAACGTGATTAAGGGACCTGGAGATTTTAGGTGGCCATAAGACAATAAAGTGCTCACCATCAGACATCTGCCAGGGTGGAGGTGCTCCGAGGTAAAGCCCCCCTAAATCTGAAGCCATCAGGACTTTAGACTAGTTTATCTTGATTTTTTTTCTTTTTAAGAGGTGACAACCTCATAAACCCATAATCTCTTCTTGAGGATGATGCAAGACTTTGGTAGGAAAGGAGAAAAACAAGGTCTCATCCTCCCTCTCCTTCTCTCCCTGCTGCCCTACCCCCACCCCCGCCTACCTCCTTCTTCCTCTCTCTCTCTTTCTCTCTCTCCCACCCTTGCCCACTTCCTTCTTTCTCCTTCTCTCTCTCTCCCCCCTGCCCCTCACCTTCTCTCTCTCTTCCTCACCTGCTTCCCTCTTTCTCTTTCTCTCTCCTTCCCTTCCTCTCTCTCTCTCTCTCTCTCTCTCTCTCTCTCTCTCTCTCTCTCTCTCTCTCTCTCTGTCTCTCTCCCTTGCCTCCCTCCCTCTTTCTCCTTTTCTCTCTCACTCTCTCCCCTTGCCTTTCTCCCTCTTTCTCATTCTTACTCTCTGTCCTTCTCTCTCTCTCCCTGCCCTTTCCCACTTCCTTCTTTCTCCTTTCCTCTCTCTCCCCTCTTGCCCCCCTCACCTTCTCTCTCTTTTCATTGTCTGCTTCCCTCTTTCTCTTTCTCCTCTCTCCTTCCCTTCCTCTCTCTCTCCCTTGCTTCCCCCCCTTTTCTCATTCTCTCTCTGTCTCTCTGTCTCTGTCTCTGTCTCTGTCTCTCTCTCTCTCTCTCTCTCTCTCTCTCTCTCTCTCTCTCTCTCTTCCCCTCTCTATCTCTGTCTCTGTCTCTCTCTGTCTCTCTCTCTCTCTGTCTCTCTCTCTCTCTCTCTCTCTCTCTCTCTCTCTCTCTCTCTCTCTCTCTCTCTCTCTCTCTCTCCCCTCCTCCTCCTCCTCTCTCTCTATCTCTCCTTCCCTTGCCCCCTCCCCTAAAGTCTCCTTATGAGAGGTAGGCTCTAAAATCCCATTTTGTTTCTGGCCCCCCGCGATGAAGGAAACAGAGTGTTGTTTTTTTTTTAATGGGCCTGGTTGCATAACTTCTAGGACTTGTGTTTCTCCTTGGGGGGCTGGAACCGAGCTCAAGCTGAACTGGCAGATCAGTCCTGCTGCCAGCTTGAGAAAAAGAAACCTCCTTTCCCAGAGCCCAAACACAACATGAAGCTAGAAATAAACTGCTTTCCATGTGGATCCATTTATTTATGTAGTTTCAAAGCCCTTCTCAAAGGGATAAACAAGCCTGCGGACAGCCCGCAGGCACCAGCCATCGGTCTAGGTAGACACTGGGCCCGGGTTGGGGAGACCTTGGCTATGGGTCATGGAAAACCAATTACCTTTACATTTCTTCTCTTCGGTGGGGTCGGCCTGGGTGCTCGCCACGCCCTGCTCGTGGGCTTCGCCCGGGTCCAGGTGGAACACTGAGCTAGTCCAAGCTGCTGTCGTCTGGAGCCGGGATGCCGGTGGCGGCGGCTCACTCTTCAACAGCCCGCCGCTGCTCTCTGAGTGGCCCTTCCTATGTAAGCAGTCTTCGGACATTCCTACGAGGCCCCAGGGGTAGTCTTGGTCAGGGGGAGGCGGAGGAGGCTTCCGCTTGTCCCATGCTGGAAGGCCATTTTCTGGAGGGTTGACAAACACAAGTTGACATGCTGTTGGCATTGTCAAGATCTAGTTGGGATGCAGGCTGGGAAAACAAGTGGTTTTTCTGGTCTCCTGGGCTGACAGTGTTCACATCGATTGCAGGGATAAGAGGGCAGAGCCGGTCAGCCTTGGGGACTGAGCCTCTGGGCCCGGGCTGCTACTCTACTGGACCTAGGGAATCCCCTTGTCTGTAGTGCCTGGAACAATGCACCCGATGCAGGCCCACTGCTACAACAGTGGGCCCCAAGGGCAAGGGGAGACCAATTTATTGCCTTGCTTGGATGACCATTTGAGGTCTTGTGGGTCGGGGCTGGTCGTGAACAATTTTCAGATCCTTAGTACATAAAACAACCCGGACTTGGCCTTGCTTGACTCGGATCTTATCAGAGGCTGACCTGAGGGACACTCTGTTGCCCAAGTGTGACACGCTGACGTGTACACACTTAGCAAGGCTGGATGCTACTGTCCTCCCGAGACAGTCACCAAGGCTGGCCCATGGGAAGAAAACTATGGATGGCTGTCTCATAAATGTATGGCGCCAACAAATAACAGAGGGCTTAGTTAGGCTGGGAGTGCTATCACCGGGGTGGGGTGGGGACTAAAAAATGGCCAAATTTCAAATGAAAATCTTCTTTGTTTCTGTTTAATATTATCTGGTATTTTTTTTTAACATTCTAGAAATAACATAGGGGAAAGAGGTGGGTGCAGAGGAATAGCTAATATAGCATCATTGGAGCTGGAAAGGTCATCTAGTCCACACCCCCTTCATTTTACAGATGAGGAAACTGAGGCCCACAGCACTTAGACAACCTGTCCAAGGTCATATAGGAAGAATATGTCAAAGGTGGGATTTGAACCCAAGTCCTCTGACTTCAGATCCAGCACTCTTTTCACTGTGCCATACTAGGAAAGTGAGCTCTTTTCATGGGTACATCTTTTTTTGACTCAAGGACCCAAAGTTGAGTTCGATTTGAAGAAAAACCGGTCTTTACTAGGAAGTGTCCGCGAGGATTAGATTGACATGCAGTGGGGATATGTTAGGGTATCTTTTCCCATAAGTTTACAGGGACTCTGAAACTGGCTATCCAGAAAATGGTAGAAAAGTCAACAATAAAAAGAATAAAAGGCATGTCTGCTCCCCACTTCTTTCTAGTGGTGAGCTCCATCTTCCCAGAACCCTCACGACACACACATAAAATGGCAAGATAAAACACACACAGGCATGTAGGCTGGACACATGTATTTTCACAGACTCTAATGGGGCCTCAAAATACCAAGAAAGACCTTGTACTCCTCTTAAATGCACAAAGATAAAAACAAACACACGAATATGCAAACCAAATAGACAGACCACATACTAAGCCAACACCACCACAGCTCACAAGCTGGGGGGCTGGGAGCTTATAGGACCAGCCATTGATTTCCATTCCATCCAGATGGTGAAGGGATTTTCATGCTTCTTTGACCATCCATTGCTTGGACACAAAGCTCTCCCTCTGCCTTGAGGCCTAGGATCAGATGAGGACGGACTTCTACAAATCCATTGAGGCCAGACACCTAAATGAAATCCTTTCTGGTCCCTCTGGCTGCTGGTGTCCTCTGCCCCTCCCAATGAGCTTTCTATGTGTTCTGTATTGATGCAGTATATCCTTACTTGGGTCCATGCTGCTTCTGCCTGATAAGAATGTAAGCCTCTTGATAAAAGAGATTGCTTCCTTTCTGTTTTTGTATCCTTGGAATCTAGCATAGCTACTGGTACGTAGTAGGCACTTAATAAATAATTGTTCATTAACGGATTGAAATGCCCAAAAAAGGGACAGGCTTCTTACATGTCACTCCTCTCTAAACACGAGCCAGTCAAACTGGCCTATTGGCTGTTTCTTGTGTATAATGCTCTATTTCCGATCTCTTGGCCTCTGTACTGGACATCACCGACCCTGGGATGAGTTCCCTCCTCACTGCTGCCTTGAAGCAGGTCTGGCTTCCTTTAAGATTCTGTACATGCTACCATCTACAGGAGGCTTTCCCCTCTAAGGTTACTTTGTACCTACTCTGAATGTACCATCCATCCATCCATCCATCCATCCATCCATCTATCTATCTATTTATCTATCGCCGCTCTCTCTCTCTCTCTCTCTCTCTCTCTCTCTCTCTCTCTCTCTCTCTCTCTCTTTCTCTCTCTCCATACTCTCTCTCTCTCTCTCTCTCTCTCTCTCTCTCTCTCTCTCTCTCTCTCTCTCTCTCTCCATATATATACACATATATGTATATATCTATCTCTGTATGTATGTATCTGTATGCATGGATCTCTCTCTATGTCTGTCTCTCTCTGTATGTATATATGTATGTATCTATCCTCTCTATATACATACATACCTATTATCCATCCATTTATCCATCTATCTCTCTACCTACCAATCTATCATCTACCAATCTACCTATTATCTATCATCACCATCTCTCTCTCTGTATGCACACACCTATCATCTATCTGTCTGTCTATCTATCTATCTATCTATCTATCTATCTATCTATCTATCTATCTATCCTCTCCCTCTCTCTTTCTCTCTCCTCCCCCACATTGATCATCCATCCATCCATCTAGCTGCCAATATTTCATCTGTCTCTCTTCTCCCCTCTATATATGTATATATATATATATATATATATATATATATATATATATATATATATACACATATCCTAACATCCATCTATCTGTCTATCTACCTACCAATCTATCAATCTATTATCTGTTGTCTCTCTATACATATATACACACTTATCAGCTATCTCATCATCATCATCATCATCATCATCATCATCATCTATAGGCTGTTTTCAACTTTGTTTTTCATATGCTCTATTTTTAGCACAGGGTCCAGCACATAATAGGCACTTATGTAAAACTAAATAATATAATATAAATAAATAATATAAATAATGTAATATAATATGAATATAATAATGCAATATAACATAAATAATAGAAAGTAACGTACATCTTAAAGTGCTATATGAGGCTTCCAGGTGGTGTAGCAGATAGAGCATTGTACCCAAAGTAAGAGAGATCAGTGCAAATCTGGTCTCAGACATTCACTAGCTGTGTGACCCTGGGCAAGGCATTTAATCTCTGTCTGCCTTAGTTTCCTCCTCTGTGAAATGGGGATAATAATTGCACCTGTATCTCAGGGCTGTTGCGAGGATAAAAAGAGATGATGTGTGGAAAGTGCTTTGCAAACCTCACAACTCACCAGAAATGCTAGCTATTATTATTATTATTATTATATAAATGTTATTATCATTATTACTGTCTAACTTGGGGCTAAAAACCTGTGAGGTAGACCATACAGAAATTGTTATCCCAGTCTTACAGATGAGAAAACTGAGGTTCAGAGAGGAGGGCCCCTTGCCCATCACACAGCTAGGAAGTATCGGGTCGCCAAGGCCCATTATCCAGCCTCGAAAACAGCAGATCTGACACGCTGTGAAATTCCATGCCCTCTGGATTGGATGTATCTGTGTCAAATAGACATAAGTAAATTTCATCTTCGGGGGTTGGGTGTTTTCTTGTGTTAGTAAGTTATCCTGGAACAGCCTATAGTTCTGCACTTAAACATGCTTTTCCCCAACCTAAAAAATAATCACGCCAGCATGAACAGATTTCTCAGCATTCCTATGTTGTTTCTATAGAATTCAGTCTCATCCCTGGCTGAATCCATCCTGCGCAATCTCACTTAAATCAGAGGGACAGAGTTCCCACCCTCTCTTCTATTGCCTCCGACATTTGATTTTCATCAGCAATTCATACCATTTGATATTTATTCCCCTGCGCCCAGTAAAAATGAAGAAATCCAACTCAATTGGATGGTCTCTGTTCACTGGTGAGACATTTCATAAACAGGCCAGAGAACAATGCCTGGATGAGGCTAGGCTGGGACCTTTGAAAGCAGTTCCAGACCCAAGGGAAACATCTTCCTTAAAACCACAACCACAAAGAGTTCACTTCTGCATGTGTCCTGACCAGTGAAGGAGAGTTTTCTTCTAAGTGAGGGGATGCAGGGGTTTGGGTGTTGGGGGAGGTCAAGAGGAGGAAAGCAGGAAGATCATGGCCACTGGAGAATATTTCCTTCCATTTCCCTCACTGAAACAGAAGGTTTGGGAACAGGGCTCTCTTAATGAGAATGGGAAGCATTTATAAGTTTGTAATCACCACCTCTAGCTGTAATCATTGGCTTAATGATATCTGCTTTGTTTATTGGCAGTTTTATGGGCAGAGGCAAGGATGCCAAATCGAGGGATTGGTCTAGTCCCAGTTGGGGCATGGGAAACTCAGCAGGGATCTAAGGACCTGATGCTTATGCTCCCTTGAATAAAGTCTACTCAAGTAGTTGTTATGTCAGAAATGTTTTTTGAGTGGATGGATGAATGACTGACTGACACAGAGTTTGCTGATGCACCAAATATCCTCGGTATCTTTTGGAATGAATGAGAACTGTAGCAGCTGAGAATGAAACCCATGGCTGGCAGGAGAGAAGCTGAGCCTTACAGCTAGCTACATCCCTTTAAAGATAGAGGAAGCTCTGAGTGTCAAGAGTGAACACAACAAGATACAGAAGCTTCTCTACTGACGTCTAGCCATCTCTTCTCCGCTGGGTACTTGTGAAGCTGATTTTTTTGAATCTTAAGTATAAGCCTTTACATTTATCTCAATTCAATTTTATTTTACTAGATTCATCCAAATCAAGCAAGCATTTATTAAGTGCCTACTGTGTGCCAGGCATAATGCTAAGTGACAGGGATTCAAAGACAAAAAGGAAAAACAAATCCCTGCCCTCAAGGAGCTTACCTTCCATCTATGTATCTTAATGTTAGGATCCTGAGTCTTGTCATCCAATATTTTAACTATCTCCTCTGGCTTTATACCATCCACAAATATGGAAAGTCTTTATAACTTCATTCAAATCATTGATAAAAA